TATATTTTTTTGCCAATAAAAGCCTTTAAAACTTATGATATGCTTATCATTGTTTTTCAGTATACCATAGAAACGTGTGGAAAATAATCTACAAATACTGAAGCAGCAAACTTTGCAAAACACAAAATTTATGTCACTGCCAAAACTTTTGGCCATGACTGTACATGTAGATTGTGCTGTAATAAAATTAGTGAATTGAAAATCTACTCTCGTGAGTGTTTCTGTGGCAATAGGGTTTGATATATTTTTGACCACATGATTCAGGAAGTTATTGCTTTCACTTTGTATTCACTTAGTTTAGACATCTAGGCTGCGTTCCACTCCACTTTTAGACACGCACTCGCAAACTTCCCTAAGCACTTCCCCTCGGGGGAATCCCCGCTGCCATTTTGAAGTGCGTTCCACTTCGTGAAGTGGACGAGGGAAGTTTATATGGACAGACCCTCGACCCCTCGATTTTGACCGAGGGAGCGAGTCTGCTTCATATGCACACTTCAGGCCGCTCCATAGACCACAATGCAACACGATTGTGACGTCATCGCAGATCGCATTTAATTTATCCCCACCTCAAACAACTCTGTAATATATAAAAAAAAAATTTTTTTACATTTATAACAGCCCAAACATACCTATATACATATAGAATGCTGCACCAAACAAATTCATAAGGGAAAAAATGTAAACAATAAACCAACTCCATAGCTGATTCCAAGTGATCAAGGGCTTAGGACGTTCCAGTTCAGCCCATTCCAAGGGTTCCGCCAGAAGTGGGCACTCATGCAATGCAATCAATGACGTACATCCGAGTAAACGAGACGGAGGGAAGTTTGCGAGCGAAGGGCATAAAAAAACAGACTGGAACGCAGCCCTAAATTGTCCCTTTTCTGCTGCAGATAGAGACTTTGAGCCACCTTGTGAGGAGGAGGATGATGAAGAGACCATAGAAGTAGAGGAGCAACAAGAGGGAAATGATGCAGAGACACAGAGACGAGAGATAGAGTTACTAAGGGAGGAGGGCACTCTGCCTCTGGACCAGCTGCTCAGTACTTTAACTTTCCCCCAGGTACAGCAGTCTCCCAGGATCAACTCCAAAACAGCTGGTTTTACGTAGCCATTATGTTACGGTCTGGACTCTCCAATTAATGTGGTGATTGTGGTCCATCACTGTTCACATCAGCTTGTTAGAGTCTGGCATTTTTTTCTTCTTTTTTTACTTAATTTTAATTGCACAGGACGTTGAATCAGAAGAAGAAGCCTCGTATACTACATCATCTACGGTTGAAGAGGAAGACAAAGAATTTAGTGCCAATGAAGAAGATGGTTAGTAGAGTTTTATTTAGATAGACACTTAACTTGGGTGTCATATTGATTTGAATGGAAATATACAACTTGTGTTACTTCATTATTTTCTTCAGCGGAAGATGAAGAAGACACAATTGCGGCCCAGGAAGTTATTGAAGGAGATGGAGACCATGCAGAGGAACTTGATGATATAAGTACTCCTTTCCCTATGATGTGTGTTGAAAATATAGTGGATATAGTGCAGATGAACAAACATTTTCTTGTTTTTTCCTTTTATAGGTAACTGGGGTCCACATCTGATCATTGTGCCTACCAGTGTAATGCTCAACTGGGAGATGGAGTTGAAACGTTGGTGCCCAGGATTCAAAATCCTCACCTACTATGGTAGCCAGAAGGAGCGCAAACTCAAGAGACAAGTAATGAATGCAATAATAGTTCTTATTACAAATTAAGATATTTTAAATACACTTTTACAAAACTCTTTAAAACAATTATTGTGAATTTTAGCCTTTCAGTCCTCATGATTTTATAATTGTTTTTCTCTCCTTTTTGTTTTTGTAAGGGCTGGACCAAACCCAATGCTTTCCATGTCTGCATCACCTCGTATAAGCTAGTACTGCAAGATCATCAGGCTTTTAGACGTAAGTCTTGGAGGTACCTCATTTTGGATGAAGCCCAGAACATCAAGAACTTTAAGTCCCAGCGCTGGCAAAGCCTGCTAAATTTCAACAGGTACTTGTATACATTCATTTCTTTGAAGGACCTGATCATTTATGGGTCCCATTCTGACTTTTGTTTCTTTACGTTTTATGTGGAAAAACTCATTTAATGATTAGGATGTAATGAGTTTGTTTTATTCTTTCACTCAATTCTCTGTTTTCCATGCAGCCAGAGGCGACTGTTGCTCACTGGTACCCCTCTCCAAAACAGTCTAATGGAGCTGTGGTCTCTTATGCACTTCCTTATGCCGCACGTTTTTCAGTCCCATCGTGAGTTCAAGGAGTGGTTCTCAAACCCACTCACTGGGATGATTGAAGGGAGCCAGGAGTACAACGAGGGCTTGGTCAAACGGCTTCACAAGGTAGTACCGGTTTATGAATCATGTAGGACTTATGTAATTTATTGCATTTATGGAAGCAGCACAATCATAGTTCCCATGTTTCTCTTATGATTTTTGCCTGTGTTTATATGTAATATTTAGGGATGTGCGGGTCTAGTCGATTAAATGGTACAGCTCCTAATAGTCGACACTGAAAACAATAGTCGATTACACGACAGAGAAAAAAAAAACAGGATTTTATAATTCCCATCTTTTGGGGGTTTCTTACTTTTAGACTAGTCGACCAGTCGGATACAAAACTTTCGTTTAAACGACAGTCAAATTAGTCGTCGCGCACATCCCTAGTAATATTACAGGGAAACATTTAGGCATTTAGCTTTACATAAGTTTCCTACATCTCTCTCTCTCTTTAGGTGCTGAGACCCTTTTTGCTTCGAAGAATCAAAGCAGATGTGGAGAAACAAATGCCAAAAAAGTATGAGCATGTTGTGCGCTGTCGACTCTCCAAAAGACAGCGTTTTCTCTATGATGACTTCATGGCCCAGGCCTCGTAAGTAACCAGGGCAAACAGACATGGGTGGGGTAAAGAAAGCAGAAAAGGCATTTTTCCTTTGTTGATAATAACTTCCAAACTCAGGCCTTGGATGATAATTGATTGACTAATTTATTCATACTTCAGGTGTTAGGTTACGTTTTTACTTACTGTCTTATTTTTTTTTGCCCTGTACCATATACTCCCAGGACTCGAGAGACTTTAGCCAGCGGTCATTTCATGTCTGTGATCAACATCCTGATGCAGCTGCGGAAAGTGTGTAATCACCCCAACCTGTTTGATCCAAGGCCCATACAATCCCCCTTCATCACAAAGGCCATAGTCTATTCTACTGCTTCACTGGTTCAGCGGGCTCTTGAGACCTCACCTTTTGAGGTAAATGATTGAAGACAGCATTTACTAAACCTTGACTGTCCTGTGTGCTTGTTTAGCTATATTCAATCCTGTGTTCAATCCTGGTCCTGGGGGGCCACTGTCCTGCTGTGTTTAGATACAGCCTACCCCAACACACTTGCATGATAGTTTCTAGTAATCACGAAGGCAGTGGCTATCCAAAATTTCCCTATACCCTTATATAGTGCTATAGTGGACATTATCGATTGCACTCATTCAATCCCACAATGCACCCCAAAAACGAGTGTATAACCAATGAACTAGCATGCAGCTAGAGAACACCCATGCACTGTGAGTGTCAGTATTTGCTTACTTGTTTTCATTCAGTGGACTATATTGTTAATGAAAAATGATATATGGGGCAATTTCAGATACACCCTTCTATTAGCTGGTTCAGGTATTTAATTGGGTTTGAAGTTAAACTTTCCAGTATTGTGGTGATCCAGGAGTAGGACACCCCTTATCATTACTATTTTTTTCTATCTAGGGATAGGGGGTGGGCAATATTCCTGAAATGTAAGTTTGGTGAAAAGCACTATACAGATAAACCTTTTCATCATTATTTGGGACACTTCCTGCTCTGTATTTGTTTTTTTGTTTTTGTTTTTCATCATTCCCACATGTAAATAAAGTGGTCCTCTCCACTGAGTGCATTAATGTTACAGTGACATACAGGTGCACCTCAATAAATTAGAATGTCGTGGAAAAGTTCATTTATTTCAGTAATTCAACTCAAATTGTGAAACTCGTGTACTAAATAAATTCAAATTTAATACACGAGTTTCACAATTTGAGTTGAATTACTGAAATAAATGAACTTTTCCACGACATTCTAATTTATTGAGATGCACCTGTACATGGTAAAGTGATGCAAATGGTCAAATATCTATTGCTTGACACATTTTTATACATTTCTGTTTTCAGGAAGTTTCTAATGTTTGTTTTTTTCTTTTCTGGACCCTCAGTGACGGTTAATACAAAAATGTCTCTGTTTTTTTCAAAGCGCTGTGACTTGTCCTTGTTTGACCTGATTGGCCTGGAGCAGCATGTGTCTAGATACCAGGCAGATGTTTTCCTGCCTCAGAGGAAAGTGACACATCAGCTTATTCAGGAGATCATGGAGTCCCCTGATCCTCCTCCCAGACCGAAGCCTGTTCGCATGAAAGTCAACAGGTATGTTGTTCAAAATAGTCAAACACACAATTTTGACGTATTATATATATGCTTGAGTTGATTGAAGATATTCAGAATTTGTCTTAAATTTTTGCCATGTTCTTGTTTCTCTGCAGGATGCTTCAGCCTGTTCCTAAATCTGATGGGCGTTCATCAGCAAACAGCCCTCGTCCTAGCACCACGACGGTTCAGACTCCAAAGCCTCTAATTACAGAGGTCACCCCTTCCCAAACTCCCTCCCAGCCAGCACCTCAAGGTCAGTTCAAGGGGCCAAGTCTAACATCCTAATCAGCAAGTGTGTCACTCATGTGATTGCAGAAAGAGAAAAACTTTTTATTCTCATTCCAGTTTGTCCTGTTACTCCTGTTGCTGCTCCAAGAACTCCAGTGGCTCCTAGCAACGTCCCTTCTGCACCTGCAGTCAGGCCGCCAGCCCCCCAGCCAGTGACTGTACGCCCCTCAGGACCATCCAGCGTCACAACTGTGTCCACTCCCCCTCAACCACCAAGCAACATTATGACTCAGAGGGTCCTTCTCAGCCCAGATATGCAGGCTCGTTTGCCATGTAAGTCCATTTTATCACACTTCATTTTTTCATAGCGATAAACAAGTTAAATTATTTTCTTTGATTTGTCAAAATGTACAGCCGGTGAAGTTGTGAGTATCGCTCAGCTGGCCTCCCTGGCTGGCCGACCAGTGTCGTCCTCTCAGGGCAGTAAACCAGTCACCTTCCAGCTACAGGGCAACAAGCTCACACTCTCTGGGACTCCTCTGAACCAGGTTCCTGTTCCTCAGCCACGACCCATCCAAGGTATCCATTGCCTTCCACATAAATAGATTAATAATCTGTGCGTGTAAATAATCCACTACCTGCTATGGATAGGTTTTGCTTTTTCCTGCATGCCTTCAGTCTTTCTTTGAGTGTTTGGTGTGGTCTATGACCTAACACTTTCTTCTGTGGTTGTGCTTTTTAGGAAATGTAATGCATCTGGTTTCCAGTAGTGGGCAGCACCACCTTATTAGTCAGCCAGCTCAGGTGACAGTTCTTCACACAGTTAGTCAGTCAGGTAGCAGCTCAGCAAATCCCCACCCAACCAGCACAATCCCAACCTGCTCTGGACTAGCAGTACCTTTCACCGTTACTCAAGGTACTGGCGCTGTCCTTGAGTTCATCCTTGTTTGGGTACAGCCTGTATCCTGGGTACCACACTACCTGTTGCTCAGCAGAGCATGTATTCTGGCACAGGTTTTATTTTTTCTAACTGCATGTGACCACTTATTCGAATGGTTTGTTGGCTACTAACTCAATAGGTCCTGTTGAATGAAGGTATTTGAAATAGATAAGTGCAAACACCACTGCACATTTTAAGTCAGATGTTGTAGAAGGCACATGAGGTTTGAGATGGTTTGGTTTGGTTTTTATTTTATTTAATTGTTCTTTATTTTACGAGTGAGTGGATTAAGCAGTGTTCTCATTTCAGAATTTTTCCTTTTCTCATTTTCTGTTTTATTCTGTTCCTTTAAGTCTAATGTATGCAGGTTAAATTTGTGAAGTTGTAATTTTCCATATTTCACCAGAGTTAAGAGACTAAATTATTGCACTACCATTTAAGAGGTTTGGGGTCAGTTTTTTTCTTTTGAAAGAAAAAAAAATTATTCAGCAAGGATGCACAAAATTGGTAAAGTGACTGTAAATACATTTATAATTTTCCAAAATATTTCCATTTAAAATAAATGCTTTTCTTTTGAACTTTCTATTTCATCAAGAAAGAAAGAAAGAAATGTATGTACATCAGCACAACTGTAATGTGCTGAAATGTAAGTTTTCAACATTGATAATAAATATTGAAAACTGTTTTCAACATTGATAATAAAAAATCTTTCTTGAGCACCATATTGAGCAGATTAGAATGATTTCTGAAGAAAAATGACAAGACTGGAGTAATGGCTGCTGAAAATTCAGCTTTGCCATCAAATAAATAAATTACATTTCAAAATATATTCAAATAGAGAAGTTATTTTAAAGATTAGTAATATTTTTCATTTTTTTATTAAATAAATGCAACTTTTTTGAGCATAAGAGACTTCTTTCAAAAACATTGTAAATAACAAAAATGTTACCGACCCCAACATTTGGACAGTAGTGTATTTAATAATGCCGGAAATTTCATTGATAGCTCTGCTACTGTAATCCATGGTCTGGTGCCCAGTCTAACTGAACTTTCTTTCCAGGTGAAATACTTGTGTAGTTTCTAAACTCTCCTTGTTTTTAATTCCAGTCCCAACACCCATGGTAAGTGGACCCGGAATTGTAAAGATTGTTGTACGCCAGGCACCAAGTAAAGAAGGAGGGTCAATCCCGACTCTGGCTGTGCCTCCTTCTCCTCGTCCTGCTCCTCCTCAATCGGTCACCCTTCACCCACATGGCACTTCAAGCCCTGTTCTTAGAGCACCCACTGTTTCACAGCCTCCACAACGGCCTCCGGTTTATGCTGCTCCACCTCGAACTGTTGCTTCCTCCCAGACTCCACCTACTCGTCCTGTATTGAGAGTAGTGCAGGGACCACCACCACCAGCCCCAGAACCACCAGGTAAGTTGAGCCCAGATGTGGTTTTGAGAGTTTGTGACCCAAGTTCAAGCAAAATATTAAGAAAAAAGAATATCAAGTAGAACAATTAAGCAATTCAATACTTTGTACTTTTCAGTAACAAAGGCAAAATCATCATTAGTACGTGAGGACAGTGGTAATGATGTGATTACATTGCGCATGAGCACTCCTAAGCCTGCATCCTCATCTCAGAGCAGTGGGTCAACATCTCAGCGTCCCCGTGTTCAGCCGCCACCTCCACCACGTTCCCCCTTCTACATGGTAATAAATGGAGAGTTAATCTTAAATTGATTTATTAATTCTTAAACTCAAAATGATGCATAACACTGTTTCCACTTTAAATCTCAGTTTAGTCTTCTGACAACCCACATCAGAGGGTGTAACACTTTGCAAATATAGATGCCTCTTAATGCAAGAATCAGTAACTACATCATAATGCATTTAGGTCAGAGGAAATTGCATATTTGCACAGTATTTTAACCCTTATTTTTGGTATATAACTTTTGTGATCTATTAGTTGTTTGTCTGTATCTGTCCCATTCACATATTTGTTACTTTGGTTTTGACAGTCATGGCTTGCAGACTGCCGAAAGGCTCAGCGAGACAACCGAATCTCTCAAATCATGCGCATCAACGATCTGCACTGCAGTGCTAACCCTGTGTATGGCCATGAGGTGCTGGACTTTCTAACCTTCCTCCCAGGCCCTTGTCCATCTCCACCACGTCCTGTTATAAACAACTGGAGTTACTCAGGTTATAGCTCCTGCCTCACTGCTCAATCACACCATACCAGTAGCTTCCTGGAAAAGAGCCAAGTCCTGAAGGAAGCCATCCACCACTCAGAGGAGAGGCTTCAACTTCTCTCTGAGATCATAGAAAGGTAAAGCGCTCAAACTTGCACTAAACTTGAATTTAGAATTAAATATAGAAATTGCAGCTGAAAATAATAGTGCCACACTTAAATGCGTGCCCTCATTCCACAGGTTCACTTTTGTCATTCCTCCAGTGGAAGCAAAGCCTATCACCATGCACACTTGCCACCCACCTCCCTCCCTCAGACACCAGCAAGGCCATATGTCCTCTGTTCTATCTTCCCATCTCTCCCCACTTACACAAACGCTCCATCGCATACAGTGTAACATGAGGACACATTTCCCTGACTTGAGGCTTATTCAGTATGATTGCGGTAAGTACTGTGATCCCAGTGCAGTGTGCATTTAAGGATTTCATTCTTATTAGATTTACCATGTTTATACATAATAAACATTTGTGTAGGTACCAAAAAATATAAAATCATAAATAGAAGAGACCGTTAATTGGCTGTTTATCTGTGTGCAGGTAAGCTGCAGACACTCCACCTCCTGCTTAGAAAATTGAAGGCAGAAGGGCACAGAGTCCTCATTTTCACTCAGATGACACGTATGCTGGATATACTTGAGCAGTTCCTCAACTACCATGGGCACATTTACCTACGGTTGGATGGAAGTACACGTGTAGAACAGAGACAGGTAACTCTAGTACTCTAGACACACCAGTACTCTAATAGTGTGTTTGTGATTTTCATATAAAAATATGTTTTTGTCTCTCATATGTGACATTATTGGAATGATTGTCTACCTTTCAGGCTCTGATGGAGCGCTTCAATGCAGACTGTCGCATATTCTGCTTCATCCTGTCCACCCGCAGTGGAGGTGTAGGTGTTAATCTGACTGGGGCAGATACAGTGGTGTTCTATGACAGTGATTGGAATCCAACCATGGATGCCCAAGCTCAGGACCGGTGCCACAGAATTGGACAGACAAGAGATGTTCACATCTATAGGTAATGGAAAAACTAAACACTTTTTTACGTTTAGTAAATTTATTTTTTAAATAAATGCTTAACAATATACAGATAATGGAAGCACATTGACATTGAAAATATTTCTTTAGGCTAATCAGTGAACGCACAGTTGAAGAAAATATTTTGAAAAAAGCCAATCAAAAGAGGATGTTGGGAGATATGGCAATTGAAGGTGGAAACTTTACCACTACCTTTTTCAAGCAGGTATGGCTTAATTTTAATCTTTTTTTTTTTTTCATTGTGAAATCCTAGCCTGGATTAAATTTTGGAAGGATTGATTCCCCCATTGTCTCGTTCCCACAGCAAACTATCAGGGAGTTGTTTGATGTGTCAGAGGGAGAGAGGAAAGAGGCTGAATTGAGTGTGCCTCAGTCAGATGATGATGAGTCTGTAAATAAACAACAAACTACTATTTTGGAACAGGTAATTTTGAATATATCAATTTTTTTGTATTGCATATATCCATTTGTTTGCAAGAAATTTGTTTCATTTGTTACAAACCACTGAAAATTTGATTTCAATGTGTTCCTAATACTAGGCCCTGTGTCGTGCTGAGGATGAAGAGGATATAGTGGCTGCATCTCAAGCCAAGGCTGAGCAGGTGGCTGAGCTTGCAGAGTTTAATGAAAACATCCCTCTGGATGATGGTGACAGCAGAGACCAGGAAGAGGAGGAGCTCTCCAAGGCTGAGCAGGAAATCGCTGCCCTAGTTGAACAGGTAGCCATGATAGTTATGCCTTTTCTTTATAGAGTGTTTAAGTAGAATGTGATTTTTCAGTTGATGCATCACTTTAACCTTTTTTTAAATCATAATTACCATTTTTCACTTCATTTCAATTATCCCTGTTCTTAACAGCTCACTCCCATAGAGCGATACGCCATGAATTTCCTTGAGGCTTCCCTTGAAGATATTTGCAAAGAGGAGCTGAAGCTGGCAGAGGTAATCATTAAACCAGTAACCAACCTTTCATTACTTTCTGGTAGAATAAACTTTTAGCACTTATACCCACACCGTTTCTTATGACAGGAGCAGGTTGAGGCTGCAAGGAAAGGGTTGGATCAGGCAAAGGAAGAAGGTTTGAAACTGCATCAGTCATCTGACAGTGATGAAGAGGATTCCATACCTCCCAGTACTGAGGAACCTACTCCATCCCGTCGCCCTCGCAAACACAAAGAGAAAGGTGCACCTTCTACAAGGGTTAGTGGCAGACTCAGAGGGACACCTGCTGATGATATATCCCTAACCCAGCCATCCCCAGAGAGAGGCAGGCGGGGAGCATGGATGAACTCTGAATGCAATATGAGCCAAACCCTTGAGTCAAAACAAAAGTCGCCCCTACACAGAGAAGTGCCCGAGAAGCTTTGCAGTGGTCAGAGAGGGCGAGGGACAACCAAAGAATCTGTGTCCCTTACATCTTCAGAAAACCAGACAGTTCAAACCAACCAGCAACTCTCAGATTCAACAGCTTTGTCCCCTACTATGCGGGGTTCAGACCCAAAAATTAGATGTGTGCCATCCCCCCACCAGCAGCCCATCTCCCCATCAAGCTCTGTGCCTTCAGCTGCTGCATCTCCTGCAATGGACAAAAACTCTAGTGGCCATCAGTCCTCCTCCTGTACTGCATGCAGAGAGGACAGTGAAGAGCAGGGGGGAGAGGCACTGTCTGAAACTGTACAGTGTAGCAGGAGAGATAGGAGAACCTCTGCGTCATCAGACTCCATTTGTTCTCCTGAGCATCACTCTGAACAGGATGGTCAGCTGCCCCTTTCTCCTACTCTGGCATCACCTAACTCTCGCTCACCACGAAAGCGGCAGTCGGCTGAAAGGGAAATCCTCAAGGGACTTCCAGAAGATTCCCCATCAGCCAAGGTCCTTCGAAAGCTTCCAGGTCGTCTGGTCACAGTGGTGGAAGAGAAAGAGCCCAAGCGGAGACGGAGGGGCTTGAGTGGAAGTGGAGGAGCACACACTGAGGGGTCATCAGAGGAAACTGAACAGGCTGAGCCAGTTCCAGACCCAGCCTCTCAATCATCTGATGGAGGAAGTCAAATTCATAAAGACTCTTCTCCCAAATCAGTGCCCACATCCTTAGCTTCTTCACCACCACCACAAGAGCAGGATCAGGCCTCCTCTCCATTACAGATTAGTCCAGGTAGAGGGCACCACCCTTGTTCCCCAGCACACTATTCACCAGATATGCCTGTCCTACGGAACTTACCAGTACGCCGAAGGCTTGAGACAGAGTCTCGAATGGCTGCACAGTTAGGAGAGCAATTTGTAGGACGAGGTAGAGGGGTGGATCGGAGATCTGTTTTCTCACCAAAGAAACCAGAAACAAATTCAGACAAGGATAGGGCTGCTCCAAGTGACTCTATGGCAATGAAGCGCAAGAGGGGCAGGCCACCTAAAACACCCCCACAGGCACTAGAGCTGCGAGAAGAGAAGACACCAGTAACCCAGAAAACCAGTCCTGAGCGGAATCCCTCTCACTCACCAAAAAGGAAAAGGGGTCGTCCCCGTAAAGATTCCACCACAACTACAAGCTCATCCCCATCTTCTCCTTCTACATGTGCTCCTTCCTCCCAGGAGCCTAATTTGTCAAGGTCCAATGTTATGCCTGTGACTTTGCCTGCTGTCAGTAATACTTCACCAATAAGCTTTCCACTCAACCCCACTTCACCCTCAAATGCTGCTGAAGTATCATCTTCTAAACTAGATTCTGAAACGAATCAAAAAACTACATCTGATTTACTGTATTCTATGCATAGAGACTCTCAAAATATGTCATCGTCTACATCAGAACTTGGTGTAGACTCACATGGTGAAACTCACACCAATCTAAACCCCATAATTGTATGCATTGACTCTGACACCAGTACATTTGAAACTTCACCACACAACACTTCACCAGCAACAATCTCTCAGACATGTACAGCTTCTTCCCCTACACTACATCCTCCAAGTCCTCTCAGAGAGCCTCCCACTTGTACTGTCTCCATCCACGAAGAGGAACTTGCCCATACACCTGTACTTTTTGAGACCAGTGAAATCACAGCATCTTCAGAGCCTTCAAAGGTCTCCGCGACTGCTGTAGAAATCAAGGAAGTTTCACTCACAGTTAATCAGCAAAAAGATCATTTGCAGTCCTCAAATACATTGACTCAAGTCACTTCACAGCCCTTACACAGAACCAGTACAACTGAAGACTCTCCACAAACCTCTGTAGAACACATGTGCAGTATAGCTGTATCTCTTACTCCCACTCATCAGTCATCCACCCAACCTTCTCCTTCACCTTCTTTGACTTCTGGGATTAAGCCAGAATCATCTTCATTTAAATCGGAGGCACAAGAACCTACTGTTACACTGACTGTGTCAACAGTCCAACAATCCACACCTAAGTCTGATCAAACTTCTGTTCCTCCCTCACAACCTCAAACTACAGACATCGAAGCAGCAACAGATTCAGCACTTGAATCTCACAAAATGTCTTCAACGTCTTCACAATCTCCATCCACCACTAATCAGATAACAACTAATTCTTTGTCCACATCCAATTATACAGATGCAGATTCTTCTCAGTCCAAAAACATGCCAGTGGAGACCATGGCTGATAATCATGAAGGCCAACATTCACCCAAGGAGGAGGTTGTAACTGAGGAAGAGGTTGTGACTAGGGAGACAGAGAAAATGGAAATAGACAGTGTTGCTGAGGATGATGCAGGAGAAAAAGACGGCATCTTATCTCAGCTAAAAAGAAGGAAATTGGTTAGATTGCCAAAGGAACAGACACCCGGTGCCTCAGGAGTTGCCTCATCAAATTCAGATATCGAGTCCCATGATGACCCTAAGATTGATGGACCTGATAAGCCATCAGAAGAGGAGTCAAGAAAGTATAAAGAGACCAGAACTTCTGCCAAAAAACGAAGCATCAGTAGGCAAAGCAGCCAGGAGTCAGTCCGTTCCTCTTCCCCATCTTCTGTATCCTCCTGTGGAACAAGATCATCCCAGTCCAAAAAGGCTGGAGAGAGTAGGAGGCCAGCTAAAAGGAAACAGGAAGATACAAAGTCTGAAAAAGAAAAAAATGAAGAAGAGTCTGACAAAAAGCACCAGTCCAACTCTTCCTCCTCATCTTCAGACTCTGAAGACTTTAATAGCATAAAAAGATGTTTGACAAGATCGGCTCAAAAGAAGTTGGAGAAAGGTGGCGTGATTGATAAAAATGAAGAGAGCAGTAAAAGACAACAGGGGAGTTCAGACAAGAAGGGTAAAACCACCAATACCACAGAAGGGGAGTCCAGTGGTGAAACGTGTTCAAAAGTAACCCGGAAATCTGCAGGCCCACAACCCAATACTTTAGCCTCCCCTGAACCTGAGGTACTGGGCAAACGCTGCTCAGCCCTTAATGCTGCTGCCAAGCTCTTGGCAATGAGGGGGAGAGGACCAGACACACCCAGCCCCAGGAGTAAGACTGCTACACAACAAAGCAAACCGCTGTCCTCTGAAAAAAGCAGTAAACCCAAGGGTAAAACAGGACAGGAGTCTCCCAAGATTTCTAACAGTAAAGCAGGGAGTGGCAGGCAAACCCCCAATCAGTCAAATGAATCACCACAGTCCTCTTCTTCTGCTCGATCCACTCGGCAGCGACCGGGCAGCCTTGTTCCCCCCTTGGAAACAGAAAGGGTTAAAAAAGAAGAAAAGAAAAAGACATCTGATCAGAAGGAAGAAGGTGAAGATGAAAATAGAGAGACTAGGTCTTCAGGAGGCCATAGTGCCTGCAGTAGTATAAGTAGTGAAAGAGGAGCAGGCAGCAGTAGAAGTCGGAGTAGCAGCAGCAGCAACAGCAGCCAGCGCACCCACAGTTTGAGCTCGCAGAGTACAGAGCCCACCCGCTCTCGTTCCAGGGCAGCATCCTCTGGTAGTGATACAGAGAGAGGCAAAAGTATTTGGCATAAGAGTGATGGAGGCAGAGGCAGGGAGAGCAGGAAAGAGAAGAGGTCCCAGAAGCAGGACAAACTTGAACTGAGTGCTGGATCCAGCGACGGGACCCTGAACAGGGTTCTCAGGAGTGTAGCTGCAATAGCAGCTGCTCAGGCACGTACTCCAGCTAGCAACACACGTTCTTCATCCACCCAAAACCGGCACTCCAAGACGTGATGGGTACAGAGAAATTATCTTTAGGTTTAAACAAGGAGTTAGACAAGAACTATTTTTTGGGAGGAAAGTGGGTCAATTTCATTTAAAGGCCATGGTTTAGCTGTATGAGACAAGACGGAAAAAAGAGATCTGTTGCACATTGTGATTAGATCTGACCTCGCCTTTGCCCTCTCAGCTATCTTAAGTCAAGCCATTTATAATGTGGAAAGGGTCTATAGATTCAGGACAATGATGAAGATTTGGTCACCTATTTAAAAATATGTCCTAATAATTTGAGTTAAAACCTGGATAATATTTTACCCTACCACAAAGACTTTGGAGCTTCAAAGTAGCTGGGCAAGAGGCAAGATTTATTATTTGTTCACACTATGTACTGTAATCATAAAGACTGAAAGACTGGAAGTACAATGTGAAGTATGTGTTAAAAGATTGGTCGCATAGATTGTACACTTTTTACAAAGTTTACGAGTGCTGCAAACGGTATTGATGAGGAAGAAATTCATTAATGCTACATTGAAATTATTTAGTGGGGATTGTACAATTGTAAAGTTTTTAGACTGTTGCATTCTGGAACATTTGTCAGCTGTTTTGACTGTTTTTTTTGTTTCAAGTCAGTTGATAAATTATGAAAATATCTTCTTTATCTTCCAGGGTATGAAGAAGAGGGCAGGTCTAAAAAAAATAAATAAAAAATGTGATTATTTTTTTCTCTCTCTCTACACTATGCTGGAGTTACTATTTGCTTAGATCACCTGTCCTGTGTAATGTTTCAGTCCATTACTTTAAAATTTTGCTGCTGCCTGCTTTTCCCCATTTGCACATCTGAAATGTCCCAGACATTGGAGGATTGCATTGTTGTTTAGGATTTTATTTTTCTTCAGAACATCAACTTGTCAGTACGTCTTTACTGTTACCTTACTGCATTTTGTAAGCTCTAAAGTAAGTGTATCTCTTGAGCTTGTGATGAATCTTGAAATTTGCTTGTCATTTTGCTTTATAGCAGTACAGAAATGGGAGACAACATCTTGCTATTTTTCTTATCTCTTTCCCAAAGTGTTAGTCATTATGATCATCTTTACACATTAAATTGTATTCTCAAACACAGAATCTAAATGAGTTTGATAAAATGAGAGTGCCTGTTGATCCATACAAGGATCCATGTTAACGTATAGAAGTTTGGTCATCTGTAGTGCTTTAAGTGTAATAAGCTCTTCCACCCTTCTTTGTAACAACACAATTTCTGTTTATGTGCAACCAAAACTGAAATCAGTTCTCCAGTGAAATTTGCTACTGTCCGCTATTTTTATTTCTGGAGTATTGGTCCTTTTTATGAATGGACCGATGCTGGGCCGGTAGGAAACACCTGAAAGAGCTTCTTAAGAGAAATATCTTATTTTTTTGCTGAACATTGGCAGTCAAGTGAGTTGTAAGATAGCTTTCTTTGCCCTTTTTGGACAGACAGATGTGTGGGGGGTATTTAGTAGAATATGGTGATGGTCTTATTTTTATTTGTCTCTATTCTAATTTGTTACATTCCTTATGTTCCCTTGTAATTCCACATTGTTTTACTTGAAAGATTGAAACAAAAATGTAAGTTGAATAAAAAGACCCAAAATACACTCTCCTTTGTTGATGTCATCGTACTTATTAAAATGGTAAATTACCTGAAGCAGGAATTTCTTAATCTGTGTGTGTGTGTGTGGTAACAGTTCATCCGATGTCAACAAGACAAACAGGATTGATGATCCAAAAAAAAAAAGATTGGCATTGCCAGAGTGAGAACCAATCAGAGATCAAGTATTTGCAAGCGTGAAGTGAGATTGGACGGCTCTGTTCCCTTGACCTCGCGCTCTCATTTCGTTTTCAGAGCTCTCCAGTAGCCTCTCACTGCAGAACGCAAGATCCAGGGGGCGTGGTTGGATCCACATCTAGGTTTAGGGGTGGGTTTAGGAATCTAGGTGGAGACGGGTAGGTTTAGGTATATGTAAGGTAGGAGGAGTTGGATCTGGATCCAACCACGCCCCCTGGATCATGTGTTCTGCAGCGAGCACTTGGCAACATTTGTAAGCATGGAAAAAAAAAAAAACGTGAGCCATGAAAATCCGTGATCCTGCCCCCGCTGAAACCGCTGCATTTTGACAAGGACAGTAACAGGGGTGTACATTAATTCTACTGGACACATTGAGTTTATTCGCTGAGTTTATTTAATTAAGAATATTAGCCTGCTAGCTGGCTAACCGTGTTCTGTTGCCATGGCAATTGTACAGGGAAAGTCGTGCACTGACTAGCAACGCAAGGGAATCAAGTGCGCCATTATTTTGGTTTAGCCTGGCTTGCAACATTGCAAAAAGGTAGTTCAAAACTATTTATGTGTTATGATTAGTTAGTTATTCAAAGAATAAAACGTCCTAAAATACCTTTAGATTGTTTTAAAGTGCCTTAAAGACACTATAATTACAGTGTGAGTGTTACTTCCGTGTCAGGATATTTCAGGGTGGATTGGGGAAAAAAATGTGTTTATTTGCTTTCTCCTTCTTGTAATGTTACAACATTAATTATTCATCTGATAATTTACATTTTTGATTTATCTATTTTGTTTTTAGTGATTGAGGAATTTTATATATTTAAGAAACTTTCATAACTATGCAGAGTTTGAACGGATGTCCTTATTATATGAACTTATCTTATTTCATCTTACTGTATTGTGCAGATCAGAGTGTAGTGTGTAGTGTAACCAACAACTTCTTTATATATATGCTTGTTTGTTCAACGAACCAACCACTTTTCTCATCACGTTTGACAAGTAGGGATTGTCTTTCTTCTCTGATTCTTGCTCACGTCCTGGCCTTCATTTTCATGTTCATGTATCAGGTTTAGGTCTCCTGTGTTTCTAATAGGTCACTTGATCTTGAGGTTTCAGCATGTCAGCTTGTAAGTATATCCAAGTTGGGCCACCCATCACAGAAGAGGCGAATTTGTTCCTTTTTGTCAGGTATTACGTGCCAGTACCCAGACGACAGCTCGCAGTGGGGAGGATGAAAGCCACTTCCACTGGACAGATAAAGCTAATCGGTGTGGACAGGAGAATTTTCCATCTTAGAGGGTTGTGATCTGACTGCCAGCACTGCTGCCCTCCTTCTGAAGAGATCACGGGTTACAGTAAGTTTTGAATCAGTTATAAAATGTTTACATTTTATTGGATAAATTGATGGTTTTAAATGTTACATTTGATCAGTGCTGTCAAAAAGTCATTTTGTGTTTTTCTTGTAATATTTAATGGATCACGGTGAGATGGTTCTCCTTGAAAATGTGTTTATTATTTATTTTTCCTTCTAGCTGAACAAATGTTACCTACCTAATAAGATCGCAAAGCCATTTCATTTGAGCTCAGGGCCAAAAGGTCAGGGTCAGGATGATCTAGTTCACTAGATCAGAATACAGTTACATGATGTCTCAGAAGTCTCTCAGAAGTCTTACTCTCGTTCCCTCATCTAACTGACACTTGCAGAAGCACCTATAACATGAGTTGGACCTCAGTGATGTCACTGTGCAAGATGTGTGCCTATTCTTTTTAAATATCAAGTCAAGTCTATATCAATGGTGTCAAATTATTTAACCGATTGAAATAGTTAATTGCTTAAAATATGAGTTTGTTGAAGTATGAAGTGACAACCTCAATCATGTTGTTGACAGGTGTGGGGTACTCATCTATGGAGAGAAATGGGGACAGAAATATGATTCTAAGCCTTAGCATTTTGCCCTTTACATGCGCACACTACAGATAGGCTTGATTAAGTTTCACATTGGAGATGTGACATCACGTAGTGATGTTAGGTCTTTCAGCTCATAAGTTCTTAAACAGGTGTTTTACTAAATCTAGAAGTTTCTCAGGCTTCGCTCAGTCTTCATCAAACTTTTATGTTTGTTTTCAGAATGGGGACACCAGCGGAGCACTCAGTGAGTGAAATGTGGAGGTGTGAGCCTGATCCAGGGGTGGAGGGAGAAGGCTGGGGAAGTGACACTCATGCAGAGCCCTGTAACACACCAATCCCTCTGCCTGCAGCGAACAAGAAGAAAAAGAGAAAGAAGAAGTAAGCCATTTCTGTTATGGTGTTCATATACACTACCGTTCAAAAGTTAGTGGTTGGTCAAATTTTGAAAATATTTTTGAAATAAGTCTCTTATGCTCACCAAGGTTGCATTTATTTGATAAAAAATACAGTAAGAAACAGTAATAGTGTGGAATATCATTACAGTTTAAAATAATTGTTTTCTATTTCAATATATTTAAAAATTCGTTCCTATAAAGGCAAAGCTGAATTTTCAGCAACCATTTCTTCAGTCACATGATCCTTCAGAAATCATTCTAATATGCTGATTTGGTATTCAAGAAGCATTTCTTATTATTATCAATGTTGAAAACATTTATATTATTATTTTTTTTAAAAACTGATACATTTTTTCAGGACTTTTTGATGAATAGAAAGTTAAAAACTAGGGATGTAACGATTCACTCAAATCACGATTTTGATTTCACGATTCGATTCGATTCACGTTTTTTTTTAACAAAATGAGATTTAAGACAAATTATAAATTAAATGTGTCCTTTTATTTTTGCTTGGACAAAATGCTGCACGTTTCTTTGTGAAATTGAAATATAACACTATAATAATATACTAATATAGCACTTGCATATTATTGCTCTTTTGTTGGTTTTGATTGCTTCTATTGTCCTCATTTGTAAGTCGTTTTGGATACAAGTGTCTGCTAAATGACTCAATTTAAATATAATTTAAATGTAAATAACAAACCTAAATTGAAATTTTAAAACAAGCCCCAAATTAAAATAAATAAGTAACACAAATAAAAAAAATCTCTTCATATAAACAAACTAAGGCGTTGTCTGTGCTCTTAACATTTAAAATGAGAGGCAACCACTGCATTTTAATCATGATCCAAACAAAGATGCTGCATACATGCAACATGAGCAGTTTTTAATCTAAATTTAAACAAAGCAACTCTGCACATATGAACTTTAATATGCATTATACAGAGGCAAGATAAAAAGAAAAAATACCATCTAAACTTTTCTAAAGACACTAAATTCCCCTCAGACATACTTTCATATAAACTCCTACCTCTAAATGAATCGCGATTTGTTTAGCATCTCAACCGATTTGAATCGTCACATATTTTAATCGATTTTCAACCGGCTCGCGGTTAATCATTACATCCCTATTAAAAACTGAATTTAATTTATTTTAATAATTTAATAATTACTTTTAATAATTCATTGTAAATGTCTTTATTGTCACTTTTGATCCATTTAATGCAATCTTGGTGAATAAAAGTATAAATTTCTTAAAAATAAAAAAAAGTACTAACCTGAAACTTTTGAACAGTAGTGTACATAAAATATTTCTGTAACAAGTCACAATACGGCACAAGTCACAACATTAGTTAATGCAATAAGTATCATGAACTAACAATGAACATGAACAGCATTTATTAATTTAAGTTCATGTTCATTCCAACATGCATTTTTAACATTTCAAGTTGTATAAAGTAGCATTGGCAAAAGTATAATGACCACGACCCGGAATGAAGGAATTAATCAATCAATAATGTATAATGAACAAACATGAATTAACAATGAACAGTAGCAGTTTAATAAACTAATTTAGATTAATAAATACAGTAAAAATGTTGATCATCGTTTAGATGAAGTAAGTTGAATTAGAAGGTACGGGACCTTTTAACAAAAATTGTTGTGTAGTGGATAACGAGAGCTTTTCAACTCCCAAACAATGCACAGGTCTGTCTCTTTGTCCTCTTCCTCTTTTTCAGATGACTGTGGATAAATCTCACCAACTGCAAATATGAGAGTGGTAAGTTTTGCTCTGTGATTTTAACTCCAAACATTTTTGGATATACAGTGGGTACGGAAAGTATTCAGACCCCCTTAAAT